GGGGCAGGGATGGGGGGGGCGGTGGTCCCGGGATTCGCGGCTCTGAGGGAGCGGAGTCGCCGCTCGGGGCGTGGGAGCTGAGAGCAACGGGAGCCGTGGCGAGGGCGCGGAGGGGCTCCCTGCGAAGGGTTTGTGAAAAGAGTCGCGAAGCTTAACGTTGGTCAGTGGCTTTGCAAGTGTTCGGCGCTGATTTGAGCAATCAGACAATGTATTAGTTGGCGTCTGTGATGTGCTTTGTACTGCAGCGCTGACTTTGATCCCTAATTGGAGATGCTGTGAATAGGTTCAGGGGAAAGGACAAGCTTCGTGCGTGTCTGTATCTATATAAAAAGTGCAGACCAGTACTGATGTTGCCTGGCCGTGTGCTGCTTTCGCCTTCCAGGTTACTTCTTTTCGAGGAGTAGCTGTTCGCAGCCTCTGCACATCCTCCTCTCATGATCACCCAGAACATGGAAGATTAGTTTACAAAGGAAATTTGGCAAGGGCAGTGTTAGGTATGTGACTTGAAGTGGTTTGTATTGCCTTTTTTTTAAATTTTATTTTTATTTATTTATTTAACAGTGTTTAAGAACTTCAAAATGCAACGTTATAAAAGTGAATGTTGCCCTTTGCAGCTCTGCTAAAACTTGGATCCTCTGTGCAGCAGAAAGAGTGGTAGTGGTCCTTGCACTTAATGTCTACAGGGAGTTCTGTGGATACTGTGCACCTTTGTGACTCCTCAGGCTGCTTCTGGTTCTCTTGCAGCCTTCAGACTAAAATACCCAACCCAACAACAAACAAAGACTAGCTGTAACTGCTGTGTACATTCTTCATGCTTTTAGATGTTACTGAAATGTCTCTGATACTGTGATGAAACGCACTATCAGTATTGAGACTTTGTTGATGTTTCATTGGCCAGGTAATGTTACAAAGACCTAATGAAAAGTAATCCATTGGAGTTTTTCTGAAACTCATTTTTGAAATGTGTCTTCAAGAATGAGGAAGTATGCCTCATTGTAATTAATTACCACAGCATTTTAGAATACTGGTTTTCATGGGTCCTTAAGGACAGTGAGTGATCCAGAACGCTTGCCACAGTCTTTCAAGCTGCATGCAAAATGGCTGTGGAGTACTTGTTAATACTGAATAACTTGGGGTTTGCAAGTTATGCATGGCAGGGGACCAAGCAAGTTTCCTTGTAATGCACACTGAATGTCAACATTAGTTGCTGAAGAGCTTCAGGGAGACCTTATTACAATGTTCCAATACGTAAAAGATGGCTACCAAGAAGATGGAGACTCCTTATTTACAAGGGGTCACATGGAAAAGACAAGGGGTAATGGGCACAAGTTGCTCCCAGGTGAGATTCTGATTGGACATGAGGTAAATTTTTCACCATGAGGCAAATCAAACATTGGAATAGTCTCTCAAGGGAAGTGGTAGATTCCCCCACATTGGGCAGTTTTAAGTCCTCAGCTTGACAGGGTGCTGAGCCATCTCATATAAACTATAGTATTACCTAGAAAGGTTGGACCAGGTGATCCTTGGGGTCTCTTCCAACCTGACATTCTATGATTCTATGAAAATTCCTAGCCATATCTCTGGTGATTATCACTGTGTGTGTCCATGACTGGAGTCAAGTTCCTTTTGAAATCAGTTTCCTGCCTGTAAAGTGAAAACTCCATCATAGCTAGTACCTGGCTGCACCACAGAAATACAGCCAGCTGCCAGCTTTGAAGAATCCAACACAAACATATAAACAAAACAGCGGTGGCAAGAAGAGTGGGTTGAACGTCCAATAGTTGCTTCATGAGGTCCAAAACAAAAAGAAAATACGGATTTTCAGTACCTTCAGCTATTCAAGTAATGCCATCAAAATATAGTAGCAGAATGTATGTAATTCTTGAGAAAATTTTGCTCAGAAGTATTAACCTTCATCTTTTTGTTCTATTTTATGTAGGCGTGAAGTTTTTCTCCTACTCCACCAGCATATTCAACCTTTTCATGATGCCCTACATTATGCTCAAAACTGGGATTGGGTTTGAAAGCCTGTTCCTACAAGCTGCCTTTTACGGGTTGATCGGGTTTTTTACATTCATCACACCAGTTACTTTGCACATCCTCACCAAGGGCTACGTGGTTCGGCTCTATTACAAAGATGAGGTGGACAGGTACACGGCCATTACGTACAATGCCATCTTGACAGAAAAAGCAACTGTTTTCCATCAGAAAGACGTGAAGATTCCAGACATCACCAAGATGTTCACAACGTTTTACGCCAAAACAAAATCGATGCTTGTTAATCCAACGCTTTTCCCGAATCCTCAGGATTATCACCATCTCATGGGCTATGACAAATCCTTGTATTTTAATTTAGAGGAGGAAAAGGAAGATGGTGAAAGAAAATAATTTGAAGATAACGAATGTCACTGTCATTGATTGTGATGCAGTGCTAGATATGTGAAAGAATGTGAAGTTCTATTACATTTTCTTAAGTATCAGGTATCTCAAGTTCCCCAAACTCATTTTGGAATGTATAAAAAACCTTTTTTTTTTTTTTCCCTAAATAATTGTAAACAACGTGACGGTTTCTTCAGAAGCATAGTAAAGAAAAAGATGCCTAGATCTGTCTTGTGTTTGTTCTTGGCTTGGTCTTTGTTGTTAATTATCCAGGAGAACTGTAAAATGCATAGGCTGTGAGGCACTCTCACCATTTCCTATTCCAATTGAACCATTCATTTTTAAAAAATCATCAATATTCATTACCTGTCAATTGCATACTTAAGTTTTTGAACCTCGCACATTAACTGTACTGAATCCAAAAAGACTGGGCTTTTTCATCAGTGCTGCTGGTGATATAAAGGGAATGGAAATGGGTTTTCATTCCCTTTGTGAGAGCATCAGTGGCCAGGAGGAGTCTTCAGAAAGCAGACAGATGTGCTTGCTGGTTGGTGTTGCAGCTTCCTTCTAGAGGCCTGCAGGCCTCTGGAGAAGACAGAGTGGATGTGCTGCAATAATCTCTAGCTACTGATGGCTACTAAATGGTCTATTAAGGTAGAGGCCCAGCCCAAGAAACCCTGTCCCAGAAGTGGAGAACAAGAAGCCTCTTAGGTTGGCAAGGGGGAAGCACCTTAGAATAAGATTTGCTCTGTGAATATCCCATTGAAAACGTGCTTTACTTGAACTAACCTAAAGAAAATACTAGTTCGAGTGGACTTTCTCAGCACTTCTGTAAGGTGAGGAAGCAAAAGGCAATCTCCTGTAGAGAGAACTGTTTGGTTCTTGTGCCTTAAATAAAATGTACCTCTTGATTTTTAGCACTGCAAAAAAAAGCCACCTTTTTGCTCAAGTAAAAAGAGGATTAGACTTTTTTGTGTGTGTGGCTAGACTGGTTCTACATTCTGAGTATACAGAAATTTGCTTGAAATGTTTTGAGCCCAAGGAGAGGTTTGTCACAAACTGATGGATACTTGTTTGCAAATAACAAAGGGCCTAAATATTTTAAGTCTTAAAAATAAGGGAATTAAAAAAATAATGAAATTAATCCTTTTGTATTAGTACTTTTAAAGTAAGTAAATCTGATTCTTACTACTAATTAAGTCACCCTGATACTGCAAATAAAGAAAAAAAATATAGCTGCCTTTACAGATGTTTCCTAACTTCTGGCCTAGGAAAAAAAAATATTAGAAGTCTAAATATCTTCCAAGACTATTACTTCATTTTCCTGTTTTAAGATGACATTGTAGATCATATTGATACACTGGCGATGGTTTTAGGTACTTGCCGAGTACTTGAAAAGCAAATCTTCCCATCGAGATGTTTTTGAAGCAACTCTTTTGTATTGGTGCAAGTATAATTTGACAAGCCTGGTCTAGCCCGTTAAGCCAATATCACTACATAGGTGAGCAATAATATATTTTAAAAATGTTCATAAATGAACAAGCAATTCTGATCACCTAGTTGTACTAGTTATTCTTATTGAAAGGATGTTTTAAACTTCATTAAAAACATTTCCATTCTTTCCATGTCTGATGTGTTCATTCTCTTCTTGTGCTTGTGGATAGAGTGTAACTTCATCTTTAAATGCCAAATGCAGGGAGAACAGGAAACAGAGTTTGCAAGAGAAGGTAAAGGAAAGGCTCCAAAATTATAATTACATACCCCTTGGACAATATAAACATCTTTAGCTTTTTTTTTCAGACTGCAGAAGATTTTCACTGTTAAATTTGAGATTTGGCTAAATCAGATTTAAAAAGCAATAGTGAGAAATTTGCATCTCAGAGGCTAAGATTCTCAGAAGTATGGAAGTCAAACATTAGTCCTTGTATCTCTTTGTCTTCTTGCAGTGAGATGCAATGTAATGTAGTAGGTGGCTTTACAACACATAGATGATTTAAAAAGAAAAAAAATCCAGACTTCTACCACAAGATAGATGATCACAGATTATTAGGGGTTGGAAGGGACCTCCAAAGATCAAGTCCAACCCCTCTGCCAGAGCAGGACAAAAAAAAAAACAAACAAAAGAAAAACAACCAAACCAAACAACAGAACAAAACAAACCAAAAACCAACCAAGGAACAACAACAAAACAAAACAAAAAAACCCAAAAAAACCCCCCAACAAACCACACTAGGGCAGATCACTAAGAAAGGAGTCCAGACAGGTCTTGAAAGTCTCCAGAGAAGGAGACTCCACAACCTCTCTGAGGAGCCTGTTCCAGTGCTCTGTAACCCTCACAGTAAATAAGTTCTTCCTCATGTTGAAGTGGAACTTCCTGTGCTCGAGTTTGTGTCCATCGTCCCTTGTCCTGCCTCAGGGCAGCAGTTAAAAAAGGTTGTCCCTGCCTTCTTGACGCTCAGCCTTCATGTATTTATAGACATTAATTAGATGCCCTCTCAGTCTTCTCCTCCCTAGACTGAAAAGCCCCAGGTCTCTTAGCCTTTCCTCATAAGGCAGATGTTCCAGTCCCTTAATAATCCTCGTAGCCCTCCGTTGGACTCTCTCAAGTAGATCCCTGTCCCTCTCTAACTGGAGAGGTCAGAACTGATAATTATTCTGGCCACAATGTAGTCTCGGAAGAGTGTTATACTTCCAGTGTACAACTTGAAAATAATGATAATTCCATAGCATCCTTTTATATTAAAAAAAGCGAAGACCAAATTTACCAGGGATGCACAATATTCTACCTGCTTCTACTGTGTTTGCTGCTAACTTGGCAAAGTCAGTTTGGGAAACGACCAAGTTGTAAATCTTAAAATCATAGTACTTTTTATGGCTGCCAAACAAGTCTGCCTCTGGCCCCAACCCTGTTAGCGTTTGCACCTCTGCCTGTCCTTGTGCATAATCCCAGGTTTCTCAGATTTGGCTTTTTTACAATTTCTGCTTACAGTGTGTACTTGCACATACGTGACTGGTTTAGATCCCTGGAGCTTGTTGAGAGCAGTAAAGACAAGCATTCAAACAACTGTAGTTTGTTCTTCACATGATAAACAAAATAAAGGAATGGAAATGTAATCCAAAAAGACATCTAGATGAGTTTCTCTACTCTAGATGACTCCAGATGAGTTTCCCTACTTTGGGTTCTGAAGAGTCTGTCATAATATCTCATAATGCACTGAGTGAATTTCCACGTAGGAAACTCTGAAATGCTTGGGGTCCTTTTAAGCCAGGAAATGTGCTGAAAACAAAACAGGCCTTCCTGCTGCCAACAAATCATGCAAGACAACTGACTATAGTGTGTGTGTTTCAATAAACTGAGATTGTTATTATGTCATTCCCAATGCCTGATTACATTTTGATGTTTAAACATCAGCTCCACGTCCTTCACATTCCTATTAATTTTGTGAGCTGCTGTTTTCTTCTTTTATTTTCCCTTTTTTTTTTTCTTGAAGGTTTTTTTGTGTTTGTTTTGTTTGTTTTTTTTCTTGAGTTTTACACACTTGGTGAAAACCTGTTTTCATTGCAGAAGCATTTGTACCTGTTATTTTTGGTAGTTGTTGGTGTTTCTTTGGATATAGGTAACTTGTGTATGACATGGATAAATTTGTAAGACCTAGAGAATGCGCTCATACATGTGGGTGGAGATTCTGAAGGAAATTCTGAGGTAGAAGCCAAATCTTCCAAAACACAGGATCTACAAGGTGTCTTACTTGCAAGGCTACGCCTACTACGAAAGATGCCAAATCCTACAGCCTTCCCAGTACCAACCAATCACTTGTCTCAGGCAGTGGGGTCTTGCATCTTACTCTGGTACTGGTTTAACTCAGTCTGATGTGAAGAGCAGGAAAGAATGAAATTAATCAAGCCTCTTTTCAAGAAATCTTTAAAGCTCTGAGGTACTTCACACTCTTAACCACACTCTTTAGAATCCAAAGGCAGCAACTTGTTTCACTGGATCTTGTCTGATTACAAACAAAAGGCATTGCATTGGCAAAGATGAAGAAAAGCTGCGTAGATTTTTGCAGGAAATTCTGTTTATGCTGTAAAAATTAAGAACATGCATATGAATTACTATACTATAATTGCTCAGTATAACTTAATAGGTGGAAACTTTGTAAGCTGCTGTAATTTGTTTGCCCTGGAGCTCTGTGGTCATACCATGAATTTCTTCGTGCTCCCACGTACAGCACAGCCTGCTGCAGCCTCCCTGAGAAACGGGACAAGTGTGCTAGCTAGGAGTTGGATCCACTCTAATAAGATTATCCCACAGCTATACAGACCTCTGCAAGCAGCTATTTTAAGCAGGGAAGAACAGAGAACAAGACAAATGGCTGCAAAACATGTTCAGCTGTCTCAATTTCTGGAATACCATGGTGGACAATGTTGCTGTGGTGTGTTTTCTGTCAGCCTCAGGTAGGACACAGCGCTTTCTTCTCCCTTCACCCTCTGCTTTCTCTTCTTGTTGCCAACCTTAATGATTTAATGTATACTTTAGAGTACAACTATAAGCTTTATTCCTAAACTTGGCTTGGAAAGAATAAACCATAAGCCTACTGGCAACAGACAGAATTATCTCCAACATAATTGTTTCCACAGGATACCACCTGGTGTGTATTGCTTCACTTTAATAGACGCATATGGATTTATGTGTTATATTCAAATCGAACCACTAAGCCAAAGTGCATACAGCATTTTAAAAAAATAAATAAATAAAAATATATATTCAGAATAATGCACATCACTTCTTCTTTTTTTTTTCCACAACTATTTGCTTTTTTATTCAACTGCTATCCACTCCCCACTGCATATGTGCTGGTATGCTGCTCTTGGGTCAGACTCTCCTGGCATCCTCAAGGAATTAATCAGCTGTATGGAGAGGGACTGAATCTTCTAGCTCTTCCTAACATCCCTGGGCTTGACTTTCTGCTTCTACTACAAACATTGTCAAAGACAGGATGAGAGGATTTGAGAAAAGAGATTTACCCATGAATTGCTACAATTTTCTGCTATTTATGTTGGTAGTTGATTGCTGAGTATGTGTGTGTGTGGGGGGGGGTGTTGGGTTTTGTTTCTTTTTTGTTTGTTTGTTTGTTTTTTGTGAATACGTGCCTTATTGCTCATCTGTAAATATCTCCCATTTATATTGGAGTGTCTTCAGCAGCAACCCTGAACCCAGGACCACAAACAATAAACATGACTTCTTCCAGCTGCAAGTTCTTCAAGAACTGTCAAAAATGGTTCTGCAAGTAAAATTAAATTATTATTGCCTCTTTCCTTATTGAATACATGTGTTTAACATCTTAAAAGAGTTTTCCATTAACATGAGGTTTTGATACATACCAAACACTAGGACATAATTTTTAATTCTGGCTAACACTTTGAAATGGAGTATTTTGCTCTGCTGTACTCATAGGCTGTTATTTATTCTTCTGTGAAGGGTTATTATTATAATGTATGTTATACATCTTTGCTGAGGGAGATTTCAGTGACTTGTAACTGCTTATCTGGGCAAACTACTCATCTTCAGCCAACAATGCAAATGCAAAGTGATTATTTTGAAAAGCAATTGCAAGTAAATTAGGCATTTTTTTAGATGTATTGAGAAAGCAGCTAAAATGCTCATAAATTAGTTTAAGGATTTTAACCACAAATCAATGAGGAGGCTTGGGGTTAAACTTCTACTTTCAGTGTCTCAGATATAGACAAAATGAAAATTCATAGGTACGAAGTAATACATTCTCTAGACTTGGCTTTATTTTCTGTACTGTTAACTGGGTATGAGAGTTGGTCTCTTTTAAATGTAGTTGGAAAGGATTTCAGAATAAGTGAAGCAAATTGTCACAAACTCCAGTGAAGTAACACTGTTGTGTAGCTCTTCCCACTTTTTATTCTTTTCATGTTCTTTCTGGATCAGAGTATGTAAGGAAACTATTACAGTAAAGAAGGACTATTCAGTAAAAATTAAATACATAGAAGTTTTTATCCTTCCTCTCCATTGCCCTCCACACAGACCAGAAAGGGACAGAGCAGACTCCTCACAGCCATAATGAAATCATTCAGGGCTTCAGTGAGCATCACCAGAGGTCAACTATATGAACGGCATTGATATGGGAATCAAAAGCCACAGGCATCTAAAACTGAATTTGCTGAAAATGTTTTAAAATTAGTGAAGTCATTTTGATTTAAGGGCAATTCAATGAGACATAATGGTCAAGATTGTAGACTTCATAATCACTGCCATACATGGTATTTTAGCCCTGATACCAGTAGCACTTATTGCTCCTATTTTGCCTTTAGCCATCCAGATCCTTTTAAAATGTAACCTAGTTATGCTGATTATTTTAAAGCATTGGAATAGTCTTGACTTGTCCAATACAAGTGCAATAAGGAACAGGAGGGGAGAGGTTTCCCCATGTGTCTGTCTGTCTAAGCCACCAGGGGGAACTCACTCCTCATCTATGCCATTACTGCAGCGTGTATCTGAAAACACTTTGTTCTTGAACCAGGGCTTGAAAGTCACAGAGTTCAGCAGAGAGCTTGTCTTCATTTATGTTAAAAAGAGCTTTTGTATAAAACCTTGTAAATCTGCAATGCTCTTTTCCAGTCTGCCCATGAGTACAGTGATGGTACAAGTACAAAATAGTTGTTTAGTGGCTGCTTCATTACTCCTTAGTGGCTGTCTCATTACTTCTTTTGTTTTTCCAACTATTTCAGCCTTCCTGATTTATTTTAAGTTAACTACGTATTTTACAATTTTAAAGAAAAGTCTGACCATCTTGAAACACCTGTATAATTGTGATGATCACAAATGGTCTCTATGTTTTATAGCATCCTATTAAACAGCAGGAACAAGTTGTGTGTGATGTTTGTACCTTGGAGATCTGTCAGGAAGGTTGTATAATAGACAGTTTTCAACATCCCAAGGCAAAACTGGGCTCCAAACACATCTCCAGTTGTGACAAGTAGATTTTGTGTTCTAAGAGGAACACATCAGTCAATATTTTAACAGCTTTTGTGATTAACTGTCTCGTGGTTGTTGTTTACCTGGACCCATGCTTGAGCTCTGTACCAGAACAACAGCCAGTGGCAGGGCTCTGTGCTCCTGGGCAAATGGTGCAGCGCAGCTTCTCCAGCGAAGACTGCAGGGAAGAGCACAGAAGAAGGTCATGGAGGGAGGCTGGGAAGCAGATGTGGGACTCATTAGTTGTCATTTTATGTATTTTTAAGATTGTTTTCACTAAGAGTATAACTGTGATAGATGCAGTAGCTGAGATAGATGAGCAGAACATTAATGCTTCTACTCAGTAAGACATCAAATGGCTGCATTCAGCTCCCATCCTCACCTCCATTTGGAAATACCTCATCCAGTTACGCTCCTGCAGAATTTCAGCATGTTGTGAAAGCACAGTGAGCTTTGTAAAAAAGTAATTCTGAATATCTGAGAGAGTTATTAACAGCTATGTCAATAAAGGAGCGGACATAGTGAATACCATATCAGTAAAAGAGTGGACTAAGTTTTAATCATTTGTGGCTTTTTCTCTTCTTTATTGTGTACAGGAAATTCTGTGAGTGTTTGAAATTATGCCTTAACAAATGTTACGTCTGATGAGTCAACTAAACTTGCCCTTTACATGCTTCTGGTAATCACAATTTTAGTTCTCCTCACTTCCCTATTTCACACAGTTTTCTCTTTCATTTTTCACTTGCAGTTTGAGCTGCGTTGTCTGGGGAAATGTAACAACAAAAGCAGGAATTCTTTTTCTTCACACGATTCATGATGATGATAACTGATCGTGCTGCAATTGGATTAATTAAGGTTGTAGAACATTTGACAGAATAACCAAATATTCCCTAAAGGCATGTGACTGAGGTTGACTGTGCTGAATTTTGGTTCCTCCTTCCCCAAAATGAAGTTTTCTTCCATCCAATACTGAGCGAAATAAGTAACTATGCTTGGACTTCTTTTTTTGGTTTTATTCACCCCTGGAGTCAGTGAATCTCTTTGTGTGTCATCAGATCTAGAAATGTCATACACTTTTTGTGGTAAGTAAAAAATAGCTTATTACTTTCTTACTGGCATTGCACAATAATTACTGTATTCTGACAACATTTGTGCTTTCTTTCAAATGTGTTTCTTTGATGAATATAGGGAAAAAAGTTATACCTGAGCATATTTATGTTATTGTCATATTTAAGAAATATATTGCCTAGTTGTAAATATTACCACAATGCTGGCTGTAGCAGCTGAGACAGAAGTTTACTGCCAAGTAATGCAGGCATGTTTTGATTTAGGAAAAAGATAAGGGATTTAGACTTGTTTTAAAAGGCTTGTGTTGTATCCATACTGATTTAGCCAATATATTACAAAGCAGAGATTTAAGTATATGGAAAAAAAGGGAAAATGTGATATTCTACTAGGCTGGAGGGTCAGTCAGACTCTGGGACAACGTAGCGTGTCCCTTGTCATGTCTGTGTTGTGGGCCATGGGATTTATGTAGTTCACTGAGTGTTTTTGTCGATTCTGCAACAATTTGGCACCCACCTGATGCCTGTGTTGAAAAGGCTTAGTGCGCCAGAAGATGGGCTTTTGAGGAGATATTTCACAAGGAAAGGCCTATGTCTTTCAAAAATCTGTGTGCATTACAAGAGTATATCACCTGCAAAATAGCTATGTAAACTGAGGCACAGGAGAGGATGCTTCTTTCTGGTACTTTTCTTTACATTAAAACTCATGTTAAAAATTTAACCAGGGTAAAACTGGCTGTACTTAAGCTGACAGACAAAACTGTGGTGAGTTTTGCTTCCTGTTTTTTCTGTCGTAATTTCCTGTGTGTAGTTGTACCCAAGATGCCAAACGGACTGCCAGTTACCAACAGCTAGACAGTTTTCCTTTGCATATGCCTTGCTGTAACCCCCAAAACACATTACAGAACCCTTGGCTGTAGGTCACCCTGTCATCCTGTTTGCTGGCTGGATCACCCAGCATGGGGATCATCCCTTCCCCACCTTGCCTCCAGCCCCACAGCAAGCAGGGCCCTTCTTCAGTGTCTGGGGAGGGAAGAAGCAAGTTGAACTGACCAAGACTTCTTACCTAAAATAATAATGATAATAATAATAACAACAACAACAATAAAAAATGCTTACTGGAAATCTTTCTTAATGCTATCACTGAACTATTTATTTATTTATTTATTTATTAAAGAAAACCTGAAATATCTGCTAATGGGTTCCAAATTTGTATAGCTACAGGTTGTATGATGCTTTATCACACTGGTGCTGACACTGTGCATTGGACAATGTTAGGTGGATCACTCACAAAAGTAAATCTACTCAAAGGCTCATTTACATTATCCTGGAAAATGTGCTGGTACATTAAAAAGATTTTTAGCTGTTGTCAGCAAGTTAATATAAATTCCAGGGTTTGCATAAGCAGGGATATTTTCGGTAGAGGACCGTGCTGGCTTGATGCTAATAAAAAGTTTGTGTAAATTCAAAGGAGAAATAAAGGTAGTTTTGCCTCTGAATTTTGTGTGCAGAATATTGTCAACCAAATAATTGACTTTTCTTGCTTCTTAAGGAAATACTGGTTTTGTCCTCTAAGCATAGAAATAATTAACAACATAAACCACATATTTAATATTTAGTATTTACTATTGACATTTCTATTATACAATCTTACAGTACATACCTTTTATACCTTTTATATTTTAAAATGTGTATGTGTTTATTGTGAGTATATCTATGTATCTTTTTATTATTTTCCTGTAGAAGCCTATTCACAATAACAATATTAAAAACTTCTTTATCCTGTAGATTCCATGGCTCATGCTTTCATGATTAACCTGACACCTTGCAACATCATTAACACATCTGTATGGAAAGCTGTTCTTTCCTGGATTCCAAGTAAGTCCCTCTTAACTAGACAATTATAATATGCAAATGCAAAAACCTCTGAATACAAGCAAAAAGGTGACACTTTATCCTGAATGTCAATTAGTTTTGAAGATCAAGTGCTGTGATTAAAAATTGAATAGATAAATTACAGTGATGGACATAAATGGTGATTTGTGGAAATAAGAGTGTTGAGTTTTACTCCTTTGAGCAGTTACCAAAGCTCCACAAGCTAACTGGCACTGTACAAGCAGATCTGGGACAGTTTAGGTGCATGTCTGGAAGAAGAAGACAAGTTTTTACAGCACACTAAAATACAAAGATAACTTTATTATGGCGTTCAGGAGAGCTTGTTTGCAACACCTGCTCGACACTACAGATGTGGGTCCTCTCAGAGTCCTCATCTCAGCATTTATTTGGGTTAGCTGTGGAGATGAGCGAACCCTGTTATCTTTGCAGAAGAAATTAAAACAGATTTTGAAACTGTTCACTCCAATATTTTTTTAAAAATAGGCTTTTTATTAAAAGCCATTTTTTTTTGTTTGTTTCTGGAAATAACATTGTTTTTAATGTATGTTTTTGTGTTCATTTTGGGGGGAGTCTTTAAAAAAAAACCACAACGTATTTCAGAGAAAAATAGTTTTTATTTAAATAGTGTGTCTGCATACGTGTTTTAGCCCCCCCACCAGCTACCTTTTTCTTACTTGCAATGTCTGAACCAGGAAGTGACATCAGCTTTTTGAAGATTGTCTTCAACGTCTGGTACAACGGTGCCAAAGCTTTACACTGGAAAGAAGTTCTTTGCAGCGGAGCCGATGACAAATACTCGGTGTGTGGAGCATTGAAAGGAGGTCAGTGTGGAAAATACTTGGTGACTTTCCCTTGCCTGGCAGGTTCTCTCCACAGCAGGGCCATATCCTGCCAGCCCTTCTTCACCATTAAGCAGATTTCTTTAATGACTCTTTGACCAACCCATGCAGACAGGTTTTTCTCTCTGCAATCTAGAGCAATTCACCTTGCTTGGTGGGCAGCAGGCTTCAGAGCAGGCAATTCTCCAGTGCCAGAACAAAACAGACAGTTTCCAAAGTCTATGCTGTAACATACTTGTACTGCAGTTTTTCTCTCTGTAAATTAGGATGACTAATATCCTTCATCTCATTATGACACTTTCATTTTTAACATCTCTAAAATGACATGGAGAGGCTACATTTGACTGGACTGTAGAGAAAACTTGAGAGGAACTGGGGGTGCTACTAATACCCAAAACACAGTTTATTTAAATAAGTATCTGGATTAGTTTTTAAAGAGGTTCTCTACACGCATGTATAATGCTTTTTTTATTAAAGAAGTCAGTCAAGTTGTAGGGCTAAATAACAGTAACATGACAAAGGACAGATCCAGAGAATTCAGGCAGGGTGTCAGACTAAAGGCCAAAGAGACCTGTAAAGAAGTAAAAATGCACAGTCCTTGTTTTCCTTTATTTAAAAATAAGTATTAGCCTTCTTCAGTTTTCATTCAGCTAAACTACTATTACAAGTTAAATTATTTGGATTCTCACAGTAGGATGGGTCTGTAGGAGATGTTGCAGGAGCATTGTGGTTAATTATTTTCTAACATGCTTTACACAAATAGGCAGAACTCTGGGAGACAAAGCAGGTGAAAGCTTTATCATTGGAAAAGTAAATGGCATTGGCACTGCTACTGAGAGATATGTCATATAACTTTGAAGTTATTTAGGAAGTGTGATCAATGGCTTTATGGTTAAATAACCATTTGTGTTATGTCTGTTTTACAGAAACGATAGCAACAACATTTGACATCAAGGGTGCAAGAATAAAGTTCCCAAAGGTACTTTTCAGCATTTTATATATAATAAACTACAATAGTAAAATTACATACATACATGTATATATTTTTGAAAAGAGATCTTCACCCAAATTTTAGAAAACAGCAACAGAAAATGTCAGAAAATTTTCTTGTGCTTGAAGTGATAACTCCAGAATGGTAGCATCTCTGAAATGCTAGATATTCTGAGCTTATTATTCCTCTATTATCCATTCCTTATTTTATACAAGAAAAGACCAGAGAAAAGTTAACGTCACCTTAATAAACCCATTTTTGTTTGGTAAGTTATTGTGTTTCTTTTTACCTGTTTGAGTAAATCTATCCATATTCTTTATGCCCATTTCGTTCTGTTTTATGTTCTCTTCACACACTGGCCTGTTCCTCCTTTAAACTCTTTTCAAAGATTTGAAGAGGGATAACAATAAGCAAAAGTAAAAGCAGTGCTGCAGCCTTAAACCAGGAGTAGCATCAGTCTTCAGTTTAGCTCACTCTCATCCCACACCTGCCTCATCAGCTGCCTGAGCCTTCCCAACAAACTTTCTGTCCCTATTAATCCCTACAAATATCACTATGGAGCTCCTACTGGTACAAAATCTCCAGCCTCCCCTTAACTCAGAGCTCATGGGCCTCTAACACTGTTTAACTCCATCCAGCCCAGCATCTCTTCTAGCTCCAGAGCTTGTAATAGACAGGAATGTCCTCTGCTGTAAGCAGTTCTCCTACAGATGAAGTGCTTATGGCAGAGCCCACACTGCCCAGTGGGACTCTTGACACACCAGGAGCTAAATCTAACCACAGCCTGTAAACTAGAAACTCTTAAAAGCCTCCCAATCCTTACATTAGTCCTGAGAGCCCTTCAGCTCCCAAGTACTTGTCCCCAGTTTGCTGTACCAGACAAGGAAGGTGACAGATGTCAAAGAAAGTAGGGTAAGACCTGGGTTCAGTAGAGGCCACCGAGTTATCCTCTGTCCTGCTGCCTGCAAAAGGCTGTCTGTGTGAGGGTGTGAAGAAGGGGAACTAGACAACTGCTAAACTGGGGGCGATGCTGCTTTATGGATCAAACTGTTGGATGTGGATGAGCTGAGTCTGAATGCTGAGCTGATGCGAGGACTGGAATTGTTTACAGCAGTGTGCACAGCAGGAAGCCTGGCTGACTTGGAGCTGTGCTTACAGCTAAGTTTCAGATAAGCAGTATCCTGCTAGTCAGGGAGCAGATGCTCCATGCTGGGAGCTGAGCTGGGCCCTGACAGCATGACTGAAGTAGGCAGCTTGAGACCTCACGCCAGGACTGAAGAATGACTACAACCCTCTTCTCACACGGATCCCTCCTCTCACTCCCCCCTCTCTAGCATACTTAATCCTAATCTTGACATGATGTCCAAAGTCAGGACAAACTTTTTGCCACCAGTAGTAGTATGAGGTAGCTTTAGCTTTCACCAAGCAAATGTCAGATGTATTCACATGATACATTCACTGTAAGTTGATGACTTTGGTAAACTCCGCTGAGGCTGAACATCAGTTAATATCCAGTACATCTTAATAGCTGAAAACAAAAATATTAACTGTCTTACATTAAATATTAACTTTCTGGTTTGAAAGAGGACCCTGAGAAGTACAAGCTGGACAACAGTCTACTGCTGTTCCTTACAACCCTGGTCATGATAAGAAAGTTGAGCACTGTTTTTTTATGTACCCATAGATCTGAATATACCCATGATAACAGCCCCTGATGGCAATAGTTCTTTTTCAGTTCTAACAGAAATCACCAGAACAATTCCAGACAGCTACTTAGACAAGAGTGGGCAGCATTGTGCACTAATTTTCTTTTTTTTTTTTTTTTTTCCTTGTTTCTTTTATGGCAATTATAATATTATTGTACAAGCATTCTCTGATGATTCTGAAAATAACAGAATTATATGCTTGAATATCACCATGATAGTAACCCAAGATGCTTTCTGAATGCACCAAATGTTTCAAATAATTCCAGAACACAGAGGTGACTTCTGCAGACAACTGGAATCCAAGCTGTGAAATAATAAGCACACTGATTTTCCTGAGGTAGAATACATCATGCACTGTCTGGAAAGCTACATGATGGATAATCTTATCTGTTAATAGCACTGCTGGAATCAGATGCTCAGTCAACTTGCACAAATCTCTGGGAATGAGGTATCCTGATTAACCCACAGAATAACCCTGTCTGGTTTTCAGGCTGAGGATGGCACTTCAGTGCTGTGCCCTGAGTTATGAAAGAGATGATTCCCTTAGACTGAACTAAACTAATACAAGAAGTTTTGAAGTGCGAGAGTCAGAAGTTCACCACTACTCAATGTAAAATAAAACATCATGTGAATCTGGGAACCCTGTTGTGGTTTGGTTGGTTGGGTTTGGGTTTTTTGTTTGGTTTGCTTTGGGTTTGGATTTGTTTTGCTTGGTTTTCTTATGTTTTTAACAAGAAAACTTATTTGCACAATCAATTTGAGAAACACCCTTTACTCTCATTTTATTTTCTGATTATCTTTAGATCTTTCCTAATGTTTGTATCCACTTGCACCGAGCTGAACCAGAGAAGTAAAAACTGGTTAAGTGGTACTAGCTGATGTGAACAACATAAAAAGTGGAACGTGTTTCCACTTACACTGGTATGATACAGCTGAATTTAGCAATCCAGAGCTGTAACTGCAACCCCACAGCATGTTTTAAGCTCTTGCTCATAGTCCAACATAGTCCATGTTTTTCTCATTTCAAATAATATTATTGGTCTATGGAACAGTCTTACTCTGTACCCATTTCACAGTGTCCAGCAACCACCAGGTGAAGCCTCAAAACAGTGTTTATTGACAACGCGTTCGGAGATTTTTGCTGGCCTGACTTACTTGGGGTATTAGAAGAAATGTGTGTGTTTTTTTTATTAAGGCAAATACCACATGCTGCAGAGACTAACAGCTCCGGGAAATCAAAGACATGAATGTGCTCTATTTTTCACAGGCACACATTTTTATGTCTTATAGATGTTTCAAAAATTTACAGTATAAGTAAAGGTAGAAATAGAATGTCTGTATCTAAATATGGACATTTACAAATAAACATATATATTCAGTAGCTTGCATTGCAGACTTTTATAGTGTACGTCTTCAGCTGGAGGGTTATGATTACACATGCCAGCAGATAGGATTGCAAGGCAGAAAGCAGGAGCCACAACTTTATAAAGCAAAGACCTTTCAGACTTCAAGCTCTGTCCTGTGCACGACCAAAGATTTCCACTTACTGCGGTGCTGGTGGTGCACGGAAAAGAGGAGACAGGTTTTTGTAAAGTGAAAGATCAGGCAAACAGCTTACCCCACAATTGCCACAAAGCCATAGGGTGAAGGGCACAGAGCTTTGCTCTGCGTGTCTTGTTGCTGGAACAGAGCTGTGACAAGGCTTTTTTTTTTTTTTCCTGTTGTTTTCTGAAGTTGACAACAGTCACCATTTAACACTATTCCTTTCAAACTCTCCTGAGCACATACTCAGGACTATACAGCAAAGAAGAGTCTACTTACGACAAGGTCAATTGCTTATACTTGGTAAAGACTGATCTGAATTTTTCCCTTTTCTTCAGTTTTTTTGGTCAGTAAACTTTGATCTCTTTTTTACTTCATTTCCTGGCTCCAGAGAGAGTTTGAATGGTGTGAATGCTGTGAAGTAAATCATTCACTAGGTATTTCTTGCTTAAAATATTCAGCAAGACCTACAGGTCCTGAGATACCTGTATTTTACCTGGAGTTCCAGTGAGCTTTGCAGAGCCCCCTCCCCTGCAAACTGAAATAAATCAAGGAAGGCTTTGCATGTAGCATACTTATCTGAAACTAATATATAATCCCTTCACAAATATATCTTTTTCTCTGCCTCATTACTGTTGTTTTTAAGCGGCTGTCAGGACTTGCTGCAGACGGGAAAAAAGCTTTTCTTCACCCCCTCACCCTCTGTCGCCAAATATGTAATTATCAGAAGAAGCAGTTCCTGTAACACGCGTTTTCCAATAAGAGAACACACTTCTTGAGCTGTGTTATTACAGTTTCATTTGATGCATAATTTCAAACAAGAGAAGTCCTGCTGACAGCAATAACATACACATTTGCTAGCTGAAACGGTAACATCATTTGAGATAGACACACACAGAAAATTCCACATAATTCAGGTATTACGAGGGCAAGTCTTGTTTCCAGGGATGTAGTGGAAGGTAGAAGCAATCCCTCAGTCACCAGTTAGCTTAGCTGGAAAAAAGGATGCATATTCATCTTAAGCAAATACACTACAGGAAGGAGTTAAGAGTTGGTGATGCAGGAGATGCATCCTGATGGGTGTTCGGAGGCATCGCAAGAGAATTATAGCAGCTTTGATCCCTTGTGCACAATTTTTTTCTTGGCAGAATATGCTAGTAATTGCCTCTGAAGTATCGGTGTAGCACATTATGCTGAGTGACTTCACCCGCTTCCTTCTGCCCGTGTTCCTGCCAGCACCGGGAGTTCAGGGGCAGCAGATGGGGATAGTGACATTTCTAACGGGAAGGGCTGGGGAGGGAAGGAAGGGAGGGCAGCTCCCGCCTGCAGAGCTCAGGGCAGAGAGGACAGGAGAAAGGAAATCTGGAATCTCTCCTTGCTGGCACTAGAGATGTCTGCACTTTGGAAATCCTGGAAAACAGTCACTGTGCATGTATACTTGTGAATCCTGGGCAAAGGGGCCTTGCTGCATGGCTGCAGTACATGGGCATGTCCATAACCTCTTTTCTTCAAGACACATGCTGCTCCTAGGAAAGAGCTACGTTACATAAGTGTATAAAATAAATAGATATTTAATCTATATACATATATACACTAATATGTATTTGGCCAGATAATTTATGACAGCTTCCCAAAGCTTCCGTCTGCAAAAAACCACATTATTTTGTTTTGTTTCCCCAAAGCTTCAGCCTAAACAGCTGTCTTAGCTACAGGTGTCATGTTTTTACATTTAACATTTCTTACTAATATAATTTCTTACTGACATAACTAAGAAATCAAAACCTTTGACAGCAAACCTGGCTCTCTGCTCACAGGAGGGAACTATCACTCACTCTGAGCATCTAGGTCCCACCCACTTGTTTTCCTGCCCTGTACAAAACCTCCACGTACTACAGAGTAGCTATTTTTTTCTTAAATTTTGACTTTTGCTAACAGGGCACATCCACTGTGGATTTTGTTCTCCGAGAGGTGTAGCATCTCTCCTGAAGAACTACCTCCATACTGATTTTTTGGAGTTAGATTAATTCTTATATAGGTTCTGTTCAGCCAGATTCAGTTTCAGCTTTTCATTGTGTAACACATTTTTTGCATTTTTAATATAGTAGTATAGTTCAACAATTTCAGTCATACAAATTTAGAAAAACCCACCACAACAACACAACAAAACACACACCTACAATAAGTAAAGATAAATACGGAAGAGCAAAATTTTGGCATTAATCCTCTGAAAGGAATATAATTGAAAGAATCTGCCCTTTGCTTATGAGATGCATAAGGGAAGAAATAATCAAACAAAACATAATGCATATGAGAGTAAGCTGTTGTTCACTTTGATCCTAAATTAATTTGACCCTGTTTTAGAACGACTTGATTGTATTTCACATCTGAATATCAGCTGAACAGTCTGGAAGTTATCTTTTCTAATCATACACTAATTACAAAAAGACTGAAGCAATCTGCCCCATGTCTGTTGACATTGCATGTAGTGGAATTTTCCTGACATTTTTAAAGCATTAAAGATTCTTTAATAGCATGGATATAATATAGATAGAACAATTAACATCCACATATGGCTGTCAGAAAAACAGACTGTCAGCAGCAACATGCCTTTCTGATTCCCCAAGCTACCTTCCAGTGACTGAAAATACTAAATGTACAGTTTCTCTAAACTGTAAATGTTTTGGTGATTTTAATTTTCTAATTATGGAGGAAAGGAGTGCCTAAAAAAAATAAATCAAAAGTAACTGCTTATCTAGGACAATCTAAAATATTAAAATAGAGGAAAAGTATTCTCAGAGGAATAGTAGAGGGGGGAATAAAACTGGTTGTGTGAAATAAATTATCTTTATGTTTCCTTCCAACACAAACCATCCTATGATTCTATGAATGTTGTGAGTATATTTAGACCAAATAAATCAAAACTTAGTGGGCATCGACTCCTTTACATTTAAGATGCTTCAGCAAATAATATTATTCTACTTTTTGTTTTTGACATACTGGCATTATTCAAGGGAAGACAGTTGTGGCACAAAATTGCTGTGGTTCTGCTGATATGCAAGGAGTCAAGTTGTGATGGTCATACTCATATTAGTACGTACTTGACACTGTGAGTTTCCCTATAGGGTAAGAATGCACAGCCCAGTTCTAAATGACTTCACGTGCCTTCTGGAATTGTTATGGGAAGGGCAACATTCATATTTTACAAACAGTACAAAAGGAAGTAAGATGTTGGGGGGAGCAGATCAAACAAAATACTTTAACTTTGTAAATTATAATTTTCTTTTAGTACTTTTGGTTTTATAAAAAGCAAATGTTATAACAAACAGAACAAATAAACAGACCAATATACCTCCTCCTTATGCACTTTGAGGAGTATGTGGCTAGGTTAAGCAAAATTTACAATGGAATGGCATGGAAGGGAATAGAATAGAATATAGAATATTTCAGTTGGAAATGATCTAGAACAATCATCTAGTCCAGCTTCCTGATCACTTCAGGGCTGACCAAAAGCTAAAGTGTATTTTAGTGACATGCTGGACCTGCTGTGCCAACTTGTGATAAACCCTACTAGAGGTGTTGAGTGTCTCCAGATCTTACTCATGCTGAAAATTGGACATACTCAGCAATATATATTTTCACATTTGTTAATCTTAGCACAGTCATAATGTAAATTATTTTATTTAAGTGTAGATGAGA